GGATCTCGATTCAACTCTTTGGCTTCTAATTAAAGTATTTAGTCTCACTCTTCTTCTGAGCTCTTTTTAACTTACTAATAACATAATGGATGAAAGTGATGGGGAAGGGAATCAAGGAGAGTGACATTTACCAAATGTTCATTCTATGCTAATATCTAGCTTAGGCCCTTTTCATAAATATACTAAAAATTATATTTCAAATAAAATGACTTCCTTTTGGCTAATAGTAATGTGATAAATAAGTAATTTATCAATGAATCCTCATGTCTTTATCAATACACTAAAACATATAATGCATTTATTGGAGCTAAAATTAAAGTGTTTCGGAATGAAAACAAATTTGCAAAGAAATCTAGGCAGTTCTGTGGTGGTGACATTAGTGATTTCCTAATAAATAAACTATGTTTTGATTAATTGGACTCTAAATGATTTTCAGAAATCAGCATTTATATTTCTGTACTATGCAAAGAACCAAAAAACATCAGAAAGTGCCAGATGTTATACTTTATTCCTGGCTAAAGCTTCATTGAGGAGGTTTAAAAGTTGGAAATCAAAAGCTTTGACTAATTCATTGAGAAGCCTTGAGCAGATCACATAACTTTTATGCTATACATTTGTCTTATCTGTAAAATGGGGCATTGGACTAGGAACAGTGATTTTTTCAAGCTCTTCCTGACCGGGAGCTCCAGGGAGGCAGGCACTATGAGAGTTTTTGCTCACGGGTCTGGCTGGATGGCCTACACAGTATCCACCAGGTAACTAACCCGTAACTAGCACTCAGTAACTGGGAGTTAAATGAATGGCTGACCGTGCCCTTGTGGAGCCCAGTGGGAGCTTCATCTAGCATAATTCTGCTTGTATCAGTTTTATATATTGGGCATAAGGAATATTTCATTTAAAATACCCTACAAAGAATGACTTTGCTGCTGAAAAAAATACTTGAAATCATGAAGCTGAAGTCCTTTGAACTCTGATAATTCAATGTTACTACTGTGTGCTATTATTTAAAAACAACAACAACAGATCACAACACCTCTTACTCTCATTTTCCCTTTCTATACATTACCAAATTCTATGAGAGTTGTCTATAAATTGAACTTTTGGCAGAGAGAGGGATGGTGTGTGCTTTGTGGATGAACGAGAGGTGAGTAGGCAGAGAAGGAGATGATGGGACATGCCAGTCAGAAGGAACAGCAGAGTCGTGAGAGAGTGTGGCAGGTTCGGAGGGTGAGAAATACCGTGTGACGGAATGCAGGCTTGGAGCGGGGTAGAAAGAGTTGTAGCTGGAGGAAGCTCCGTCATAAAGAGCGTTGTACGCTTGGTTAGGACCTCGGCTTTACTTGGGGAAGCAAACCACTGGCTATTTTAAGAAAGCGAGATAACATGGTCATATTTGTGTTGTACTAAGAGTTCTCTAGTTGCAGTGCTGAGGTTAAGTCTTTGGAGCCTGAGGGATGTCTGTTAAGATACCTCTTGATCTTGGGTTTAATAGAAATGGTATCATAGATAATTTCAAGAGTTTTTGTTTTCCAGACCATGGCATTCTTTCCCCGCGCCCCCCGAAATTATTTACAGAATTCTAAAAATGATTCCTTATATACAGCCATAGCTCCTCCAAAGAGAAAACTTATTGTCTAAACTAAGAATTTAATTTATAAGTATCCTGATATGAAGAGGGGATAAATAATCAACCCTGGGGACAAATAAAAGTCACTTTAACTTCAATGTTTTCTACTGAAATGTAATTTCATTTGTTTACAACTATGAGACACCCATTAGGGAACTTACAAGAGATTGGATGTGACATTCAAGTCTGAGTACATTGAAACTGGGAATAATGGGCCCGTTCTTAGTGTCATCTTGAATGATAGTTTTATCACTTGAACTAAATTTTTACTACCTAAGACATTTATTAGTGCCTTCGTTTACAGAAAAAATAATACCATACTCATATTTGGATGACAGACACACATACTATCTAGGGATGGGGACAGAGCTGGGTGTGGCTTTGGTCTGTTTTAACACTAAGTTTTAACTTGTCAGTTTATGACATTTGGACTTTAGTATATACCATCAATCAAAATGATAGATCAGTGTCATAAGTGAAGTAAAAAAAAAAAAAGGAAAGATGAACTTAAAATAATAAAAATCCTCTTTTGATATGCCACTAAACACAGAATGTTGCTAACATTGGAAGATTTCATTTGCAGCATGAATCCTGAAAGAAACAATTAAAATAACATAAAATGACTATTACCAAAATGAATCTAAAACAATGAAAATTCTGCCTGGCTGCCGTGGCTCAGCGGTTGAGCATCTACCTATGAGCTGGGAGATGATGTTTGATTCCCGGTCAGGGCACATGCCCTGCTTTCAGGCTCGATCCCCAGTTGGGGGCGTGCAGCTGGTCAATGACTCTCGCTCATCATTGATGTTTCTATTTCTCTCTCCCCCTCTTCCTTCCTCTCTCTGAAATCAGTAAAGACATATTAAAAAATATAAAAAAATAAAACAATGAAAATTCTGTAAGGTAAATGGAATAGAAATAGAGTGATCCATTTTTCCATTAAGGTATTCAGTGTAATGTTAATGTGTGTGTGTATTTTAAAATTATTTTTCCTTTTTGCTTTCCTAGCACTAACTTTATTTTCAACCTAAGAAAAACATTAACATTAGCTAGTGCTTGAAATATCTTTAGGTTCATGCTGAAATATTTGTGCCTGAAATCTCATCAAACAGCCAAGATACAAAATTTAGACCGGGGTAGAAAATGACAAAATAGCAAATTGCTTTTGTAAGGAGCTAAAGGCGGCAATAAACTTTGTAGGAATACTCATTTTCAATAAGGGTAATAAAAACTAGCTTTTCTTTAGCCCTTGCCATGTGCTAGGCTGAACTGGGCTAAACTCAAGCCCTTTCATTTAATTCCTGTAATGAGCCTATGAAGTAAGCCCTATCAACCCATTTCACAAATGAGACTTCGAGAGATTTAAAACCTTAGGTTACAGAGGTAGTAAGTGATAGATTTGCACCCAGACCTGTCCTCTTGAGCCCAATCTTTTATGCTACCTCTAAGTCATAAGTAATGACTGCTAAGCAGCACATGTCCCATGTCACTTGGCCGTGCCCTCATTGTGTTATAATTGTCTCTTTACACATCTAACTCCCCCTACTACATGGTTATCTCCTCCAAGGCAAATACAGGGTCTTATTTATCCTTCTAGTTCCAAGGGCTTAATGCAGTGGCGTACCCCATAGAGGAAACTTAGTGAGTGCCTACTGAATGACTAGTGTTGTCAGAAGTCACTAAAAGTTAATATATTAAAGAAAACATTACGTTATTATGGAAAACAACTGATGTGCAAAGAAAGTACCAATTGCTTTTGAAGCTCTGTTAGTCATGCGTTTCCTCAAAGATGAGATTTTTGAGACAGCTAGGTGGGCTGATTCCTATTACCTCTAGGAATTCCAAGGAGTGTGAAAAAAACCAACAGAGACACTAAGTGTGTGAAATGATATGTACAGTTTTAGGAATGGTTAAGGGAAGGGATACTAAAAGCATAATTTAATTAATGGTCTTTACATTTATGATGGGCTTATCTCCTACACAGGGAAGTAACCAACTTTTCATTGATAGTGAGCACCAAATAAAAGGAATCATCAGAGGATTATTTTAAGCTTTAGGTAATTTTTTAAAGCTTAAAATGCAATTGGTGTAGGAAAGAAAACGATTTTATATTAAAACATTATTCAGTGTAACTTCATGGGGGGCGGGGGGGATCAACTTGGACTTCAGCTTGAGTGATTGAAAGCCTAGCAAAGAAAATCATTTCTGATTCTAAAGAATAGTTTACCATGGGGATTGGGAGAAAGTTCTAAGTGAGTTTGCACATGCATCTTTAGAGTGGGTGGTATTGACTTCTGTGACCGTATCTTGCTCGATGACGCTCTGATTAAATATGATAATGTCCGTTGAAATCTGGGTCTTTAATTGCCCTGTCTGAAAGTTATTGGCAATAAAAGCTCTCTAACCCTGGCTCTCCTAAGGGGTGCCTAGAGCTTGAACTCTGCTGTTCCTCAGCAGTCCATAGGCGATAAAGACCAGAGGGCAAGGGCTGCCAGCAAATGATGTGCCCACTCTGCGGGCGTTGACCTTTGCAGTTGCCTACACCCTACAGAAGGCTGGTGAATACACTTTTCACTTCTTGAATATAAATTCATCTGTAAAATTAAAAAAAAAAAAAAAATTGGAGTGGAAAAATATACATTGAAAGTGGAGTTATATCAGCCAGTAACAGCTCGTAAAGTCACAAAGGGTGCTTTTGTTGATTGTTTTTGTATTTTTTAATCTTCACTGGAGGATGTTTTTTCCATTGTCTTTTCAGAGAGAGTGGGATGGGGACGGGGAGAGAGAGATCGAGGGGTTGCCTCCTGTTTGTGCCCCACCGGGGCCAAGCCTGCCGCCGAGGCCAGGTACTGGCCCATGGCTGGAACTGAACCCAGGACCTTCTCTCCTCGGGCGGACGCCCCAAGCACAGAGCCAAACCCGCCAGGGCACCGCCAGGGCATGATTTTGTTTTCTTATAACTGATTTCTATAAATGCGCCTCCAATGTGGAATAAAGCACATTATCCTGAATTTTAATTTAGTTGTAAAAGTTCTGAAGCCAGTGAGGCTGGCATGAACGCTAGCGCCCTGTTTAACCTGGCCTGGGGGGGAAGTGGCGCTCGCTTTTCGCCTTGAGGCTGCGCTCCCCCCACGACAGATCCGCACCCCCCCAGCCTCGCTCCCCAGCGGGTGTTGAAAGGGCCCAGGTGCTCAGCACCCCTCGCTGGCTCCCGGGGTCCTTGAGAGCAGAGCTGCGTGTCCTCCACCTTTCCTTCCCAGCGCCCAGTGGAGGGTGTCGCAGATTTGGGCCAATGCGCATTTGTTGGGTGACTTTTCTCTGAACTAGCCGCTTTCTCTTTTCTTCTCACTTTTCCATCTTCCGCCCCCCTCAGGTTCTGTCCATCTGCCCCAAGGACATGAGGGCCGACATCTGCGTTCACCTGAACAGGAAGGTTTTCAACGAGCACCCCGCTTTCCGGCTGGCCAGCGACGGGTGCCTGCGCGCCCTGGCCGTGGAGTTCCAGACCATCCACTGCGCGCCCGGCGACCTCATCTACCACGCGGGCGAGAGCGTGGACGCCCTGTGCTTCGTGGTGTCCGGGTCCCTGGAGGTCATTCAGGACGACGAGGTCGTGGCTATTTTAGGTACCGTGCACTTCCCGGGGCTGGCGGCGCATGCCCAGCAGCCTGAAGAGGTTCTGCTTCTCGGGCTTCTTAAGGGGGTTCCCTCTGCCTGCTGACTTTGGCAACTGGGGCAGGAATGAGAGGGTGAATCTTAGTGAAAACTGGGGCTGCTGCTTCGGCAGGTCCCAGCCTAATGGGCTGCGGGGGGCTTGGGCTGAACTTTCTTTGGCAGCAGTAGTCTTGCTTTTAGACGAGAGCCGATGGTAGCCTGACTCGGCCGCCCCTCCGCGTGGGGAAGTGTGAAGACGGCTCGTGGAAGGACTGTCAGGTGAGCAGCCTAGAATGCTAGTCTCAGAGGGCGACAGAACCCGTCCACGGCAGCCCTTGCCTTCAAGGTGAGCACAGTGAGGCCCCCAAACGTTTGGTGACTGGCCCAGCTAGCCAATGAGTTAGGGCTTGAGTACAGGTCATCTTACTCTAGATCTCTTGGCCTCATCACAGTGGACCTAAGTAGTGACTGGAAGTGGTGAGCCCATAAGTGAAACTGACCCACTGTATTGGAGCAGTCACGATGCAAGTAGATTTATGCTTTTAAAGCTGGTCTGTCTGTTCACAAACCAGGGAAATTGTGTGGCTAATAGTTAATTCATCCTAAAATTCAGAGATCCTGTAGTTAGTTGTACTAACAAGGTAGAGACAGGGAATGTAAATGACAACATTTAAAAAAAAAAAAAATTACATGTTTGGGGACAGTGTAATATACATATTGGGAGAACAAATGCTAACTGATATTTTAGATTACTTTTTTTGCCGAAATGTCAGCTGCAAGTTCATGAAGTCCACATAGCTATAAAAGGAAGCAATAATGAAGTCAGAGGAGAATCATTCCTGTTTTTACTGCAAGTAAAATAAGTTAGAATCGCAGGATGTCAGCTCCATTCTGATCACATTTTTCCTGGCTTGTGTCTCATGAAAAATGAGCTCAATTTTAAACTATCAGATTCTTTTTAGCTTCCGAGGTCAACCAACCGTAGCTCGAATGCCACTTATTGTCTTAAGTACAAGATTGACTGATGATGTATTTTAGCGACCGCAAAAGCAAAATCCAGCACAAAAATGAAGAACTGGTCTCAAAAAGCACAATCACCTGGCAAGGACAGGACTGGGAGCTGAGAAACGATGACCCCGCCTAGGAAAACAGGCCCTGCTACATTTGTAAGAGTTAGAGAAACCGGCGCAGGTTGCAAGGGACTGAACACTGTTTTTCGTAAACCTTTTCTTATCTGTTTAGCCAGCGCTGTGAGTGTGTTTGGTGCTACTTAGTGCTTGTTCTGTTTCCTGGACTATAAAGGAGTCAAATATAATCCTTCATAGCAAGTGTGCATTTGGTCAGCACGATCCTTCGTGGCAAAGGTCTCCGATTCTTGTTTGGTTCAGGAAGGGGGGAAAGCACAAGCCCCAAACAGCTGTATTTTCTTTTCCTGCACATTCAGGTCAGTGGCGGGGGGGG